TCACAAAAATTTTTTCAACCATAATAACTCCTTGCAAGCTTTGGTAGTAGCAATAAACTCCGCCTCTGTGGAAGAGAGTGCAACACATTTCTGCAATCGGGACTGCCATAAAATAGCTCCCCCTGCATTAGTTATCAAGTATCCAGAAGTAGACTTCCTATTATCAATATCTCCCGCCATATCAGAATTTGTATAACCAACAAGTTCTGGCTTACCAGTACCAAAGCACAACCTCGTACTCGAAGTTCCCCGAAGATATTTCAGAATCCACTTCACTGCACTCCAATGCTCTTTGCCACGATTCGACATGAATTGGCTAACAACACCAACTGCGTGAGCTATGTTCAGTCGAGTACACACCATGGCGTACATCAAACTTCCAACTTCTGAGGCATAAGGAATTCACTGCATATCTTCCTTTTCTTTCTCAGTAGAAGGACACTACTTCATACTCAATTTAAACGAAACAGCAAGCGGGGTAGAAGTAGCTTTAGCATTGTCTATGTTGAACCACTGTAACACTTTTTCGATATATTTTTCTTGGGATAACCATACTTTTTTCTCTTCCCTATTCCGAGAAATATACATCCTAAGAATACTTCTAACTAGCCCCAAATCCTTTATCGCAAAATGCTTGCTCAACTCTTTCTTCAAATTATTTATTTTCGAGGCTGAAGAGCCTTCTATGAGCATATCATCTACATAAAGAAGTAAGATGATAACATCAGTACCTGAGAACCACTGCACGAAAACACAAGTGCGGCATCAGTCTTCTTGTACCCTTGTTGAATCATAAAAGATTCGAATTTCTTGTACCACTGCCTCGGAGCCTGTTTAAGCCCTTACAAGCTCTGTTTCAATCGACATACATGGTTCTCCTTTCCTTTCACCACAAAACCTCTAGGTTGCTCCATATAAATTTCTTCTTCGAGGTTACCGTGAAGAAACGCCGTCTTGACATCCATTTGCTCAACTTTTAAGTCAAGACAATCAGCCAAACCCAAGATAATACGAATAGAAGTCATCTTGACAACCGGTGAAAAAATTTCCTCAAAATCAACACTATGTTTTTTACTAAAGCCCTTCATAACAAGTCTGGCTTTATATCGAGGAGAGGATTGAGTGTTTTTCATGCTTCACCTTGTAGATCCACCTATTTTTTAAGGCTCTTCTATTACTTGGAAGCTCAACCAACTCATACGTGTCATTAGTATGTAGGGATTGCATTTCATCTTTCATAGCAACAATCCACTTATCTTTTTAAAGACTTTGGACGGCTTCTTCATAGTCCTCAGGCTCTCCATTCTCGGTCAAAAGCACATACTCCATAGATGAATACCTAGCGGAGGGTTGTCTATCCCGGGTAGACCTTCTCAATGAAGACTCTACCATATCCCTTGAATTCTCAGAATAACTCGGACCAACATCAACATCATCAACGGCATCGTCGTCGACAGACTAATTTTCATCACTACCCAATTTTGGTGCAAGAACTCGATCAAAATAAATCAAGTCTTTATTTTAAATATTTGGCTTATGGTTCGTCTCAATGTCCTCAATCGTTTGATCCTACATGAATACAACATCACGACTTCTGACAAGCTTTTCTCAATAGGATCGTAACACCTATAACCAAATTCATCATCACCATAGCCAATAAAAATGCATTGTCGAGTCTTAGCATCCAACTTGGATCGCTCATCCTTAGGCACATGAACAAAACACTTGCATCCAAAAACTCTGATGTGATCATAAGATACTCTTTTTCCGTACCAAACTCTGTCAGGAACATCTGTCTGCAAAGCCACTGTAGGAGTCAGATTAATAATACGAGCAACTGCATATAAAGCCTCACCCCAGAAATGTTGAGGCAATTTAACATCCGAAAGCACGCATCTGACTCTCTCCATCAACATTCTATTCATCCTTTCTGCCAAGTCATTTATTTGCGGAGTTTTAGGAGGTGTCTTCTGGTGTCGAAAACCATGCTTTCGACAATAAGCATCAAAGGGTCAATGATATTCACCTCCATTATCGGTCCTGATGCACTTCAATTTCTTACCTCTTTCTCTCTCAACAGAAACATGAAACTCAACAAAAGGATCAAGACCCTGATCCTTCGATTTCAACATTCGAACCCATAATTTTCTTGAGTGATCACAATGAAGATAACAAAATAAACTGCACATCCAAAAGACTTTACCTTAAAAGGACCGCACACATCCGAATGGATCAATTCAAGAATGTCTATATTCCTCGTAGGAGGGTGATGAACAAAGAAAGCCCGTCTTTTCTTTCCCATAAGGCAATGTGAACACTTATCAAGCTAAACACATCTAACACCAGGGAGTAGATTCTTTCTCGCCAAAGTATCGAGTCCTTTCTCACTAATGTGACTCAATCTCCTATGCCATAAGCTCGAAGAACTCCCATTCTGAATTGCATTAACATCATTCACAGAAATAATAATATGAAACCAAGATAAACTAGACCTTTTCTTACCCTAAGCAATTACCATAGAACCTTTGGTTCCATTTTCCATCACCGAAATGGCAGGAATATCCATCATCATCCAACCTACCCGTGGAGACTAGATACAGTCAAATATCGAGAGCATGCCTCACATCCTTCAGCACTAGTATGTATACACTAGTGGTATCCAAACACATTGTTCCTGTGTAAACTACTTTCACCAAGCTATCATTTCCTATCTTCAAGACTCCAAAGTTTCCTGGAGTATATGATGTGAAGAAATCCCTATTATGAGTCACATGAAATGCAGTTCCACTATCCACAACCCAACTAGTCTCATTTTGGGTAAGATGAATTCCCTCTTCCTCATACACAATGACGAGATCCTCCGGCATTGTCGTATTCACACGATCATTGCTTTTATCATCATCTTTTTGCTCATACTTGTTGTCCTTGCCTTTCTGCTCATTTTTCAACAATACCTTTTGATATGTCCCCGTTTGCCACAATGATGACACTCAAGGTCTTTGTATTTTGGCTTTGATTTACTTCTTCCTCAACTCTTTTCTCGATTCCCACAATCTCGGCCTATATTCCAACTTCTTCCCCTATTATTAATAACTAGGATCTCCGAATGAGAAGATGAAGTGCCAAGAGTCTTCCTCCTCACCCCTTCATTCAAAATCACACTTTTGATAAACTCCAAAGTGACTATTCCATCGGGTGCAGAATAAGACAAATAAACTCTGAAACCTTCCCATGAATCTGGAAGAGTATTAAGTAGCCACAAACCAAGTACCTCATCATAAAACTTCACTCCATGCCTGACAGCTGATCGAAACATCCTTGAAACTCATTTATGTGATCGGAAATGGACTTGCTCTCATGATAACTCAATCGCATAGCCTGCTTGAGTAGAAACAACTTATTGTTGTCAGTCTTCGAAGCATATAAGCTTTCCAGTTTGTCCCACAATATTTTGGCATTGGTCTCATTCACAATGTGATTCAAAATATTGTCCTCTACCCATTGCCTTATGCAACCACATACTTGTCGATGCTTCAATTCTCAATCTGCATCACTACTTTCAACATCAGGCTTTGCCGCAGAGAACACTGGCCCGTGTAACTTCTTCACATATAAAAAATCAATTATCTTCCCCTTCTAAACATGATAGTTTGTTCCATCTAAGCAAACTATTCCTCCCAAGTTCACATTCATCCTTCAATGGTAAATAACACTCCCAACCAACCTTGCTCTTATATCACTTTTTGTTGGTAGAATACCAGAAGAAGACCAAAATCCAAACCAAAATCAAATTTGGTGTACTCCTTAAGTGTGGTCACGCCTAAGCAGGGTGTTCAAACTGCTCCACCAAAACCTTTCCCTTCAATCAATTTATTCTTTCTACCAAAATACGATGAATGATAACCACCAATAAACAACGGAAATAACAATGTGAGACACCAAAACTTTTAACGTGGAAAACTCCTTCAAAGTGAAGAATAAAAACCATGAGGCCTATCACCAAACCCAAGGCAAAATCGACTATATCAATAGGTTCGTACAATCAAAGCTAACCACAACCAAAAGGGCTATCAAACTCCACACCCAATTACAAGAATCGAACCGCAATCACAAGAGATCTCTCAACTACTAACTACCCATTCCAATCCCCAACCAATAAAATTCAAAATCAAATCCAAACAAGTAAAAAGTGAGGAATCAACGATACCAAGAAAACATCCAAGGATGATGAGACCGTTGATCGAAATCGAATCGAAGAAATTCTTTATTGCTTGTCGATTCTTTCGTGTGGATTACGATTGTTCCTCTCTCAAAATCTCTACACCCAAATGACCAATCTCCTAACTATGAAGGCTAGGGCAACAATCGAGAAAAGTGGGCTCTCAATTCTTTTTGGGCTAACTTGAATTGTTGGGTCTCCACACATAGAAGAAACCCAAACCCAACAATATGATATACTGAGGCCATACACACAACCGATCCGTCTGAATTGAAACCCAGATCCGGCAACCGCTGCCAGAATATAACATTGTTGATCTTGGATTAGAAATAATATATACAAACAACACATGTTGTTATTATACACAATACATGCCGTGTATAATAAAAGTATGTGTTGTTAAAAATGTTATATGCGCGGTACAAGAGTATGTCATGTGATAAAATCAATTGTTATGTGTTATTAATTCATATATTTTATTTATATGATATTAATATAAAAGATGTGCGGCCAAATAACACAATACATTATTTCTAATTACATCGTGCGTTCATTACCAAGATGAATTTTACTGTAGCCGCCCTGTATAAAAAGTTAGTAATATCTCTAAATTAGATTATGAATTTATAAACAAAATTATTTATTAGGTTACATATCTCTTGATTCTGACGTGGCTTAGTATGATTGGCTTAAAGACGTGGCTCGCACCTTCCGTTTCCGTGCAGTTTCCTCCTAATGGTACCGTTACTACAATCCCACGCTTTACGAGGTTGTACGTCAAGACTTAGCAAACGTTCAACAGTGTTATGCGGCGAGCGTTTGCCATGATTCTTTTCGGCTTGAATCGACTAGCAATAAATGCATTTCATATAATAACATTTATGGTTTCAGATACGCATAATCTCCACAATGGCGTGGAGATTACTAAAACCTACTCACGGTGAAAATTCACACTGGAGGAGGACTCAATCCGGCTGCCTTTGAGGTTCAAACAAGCTTCTTCGTCTTGATTTGTGAGTAAATTGGTGACACAAAGAGAATTGTTGGGTTGCAAGATTGAAAATTCAGTGCCTCGATAATCTATCTTTAATTTATTTCATGATTCGTGTTTCTTGTCCAAATTTGTGATGCTTAATACTTTTTAAGTCCGCTTGGATGCTCTTGATCCTTGCTCGTGTGAAATGTTTGGAATGATTGCTGTTTGGATTGAATTTCTGTGGTTTTGCTTTCGTGCAGCTGTTAAGAATTGTGGATTGTGGTAAAGTTTAGGAAGTTTTATCATGAAGAGTAAAGAGCGACTGGCTAATTTGGCCCTAGCAGGTGTTTCTTCTTCTTCTTCTTTTAATATGCTTTTCCTTTTATTGATGTTCTCTCTGTTTATTCTATTTTATCTTTTGTATGGCTGATTATACATGATTTATGTGAACTGGATTTTCTAATGGTTTTGATTGCTGATCAAATAAGTTAGAAATTCCAATTCTAGAAGAAGATTATCATTTCATAGTTAATGTAATTGTTAACCAGATTAGAAAATTTTTAGTATATGAGTTTATGTGACATGATCCTGTCCACCGGAAGGTTCAGGATCAAACACTGTTAGGTCTAGATTTCTCTATGTAATTCTGTTATACCCTCTGGAAATAAGTTGACGTTGATGTAGCTACTTTGCATAGTCATATTATGAATTTTTATTTTCAGTAAATTACTCTACAAGGGGAAAGGCAAAACTACTAAAACTTATAAGTTTGTGTGGCTAGTTTGTTGCCTGTATTGTTTCTTCTTATTTATTCTAATGCATTTCTAATATTGTGATCGTGACTTTTCAATCAAAACCTGTTTGAGTATTCTAAGCGCAAGCAGTTGTGTGACTGTGTATGACTAGCAGCACTATGATTTATTTTGGGAGCATAACAATCTGATTGTAACCTTTATCAATAATTTCAGGCTTGACCTTGGCTCCACTCTTAGTTAATGTGAATCCAAATTTGAACGTGATCTTGACAGCTTCCCTTACGGTGTATGTGGGTTGCTACCGTTCAGTAAAGCCAACTCCACCATCAGTAATTTTAGCTTCAAAATGCAATTCTTTTTTTCCTGCCCCTTTTTGAGCTAGTGAGTTGTATTTGCATTTCTTTTGACATGGTACGATTTTGCAGGAGACAATTTCCAATGAACATGCAATGCGGTTTCCATTAGTTGGGAGTGCAATGCTGCTCTCGCTGTTTCTGCTTTTCAAGTTTGTATCAAAAGACTTGGTTAATGCTGTTTTGACATGTTATTTTTTTGTGCTTGGCACTGTTGCTCTTTCGTAAGTTTTCCATATTTCCTATATACATTCATATATAACATCGCTAGTTAAAAGTATTATTAGTTCATGAACCTATTGTTATGTGCCGATTTTGCAGGGCAACATTGTTACCTGCAGTAAAAAAATTTATGCCTGAATCCTGGAACAATAATCTCATCGTATGGCGCTTCCCATATGTCAAGTGTATGAACTCACCGGTGCCTTTTAATCTGTTTCCTTGTCATTCCAGGATTGGTTATGCCTTTTGATGCTTTCGTCATTTATTAGTATCAATTTTTAATTTTTTATTGCCTGTTAGCTAAATTTACATGTATTCAAGAAGCACATATATAACGTAGGATTTAGAGTTGAGGCTCTTTTCGTCAATATATAGTGTATAAATATCCTATTATCCTACAATTTTATGGTGAGGGAGTGGAAAGATGATTTACACAGTAATTGTTCCCTGTTCCCTTCCTCGAATAATTTATGTAGCTATATGCATTTCTGTATATTACAAAACATGAATCACATGGATTATTTGTTACTTACTGCCACCAAATTACTAAAGCTGTGGAGTGTAAAAATGAAAAATATAAAAATGAAAGTTATTCTACCTGAATGTCAGCGATCATCTAAAATGGAAGGGTAGCTTCATATGCCATGAATGTATGGTGATTTCTGAAAAAATTACTACTTGAAAGTATTACAAGTGCTATGGGTATATACATCTGTCAGGGATTTAGTGTGCTCCTAAGTGAATTGTGCAGTTGAGTCTGCGTTTATGAATTCTGGCTGCAAGCCTATGAACAAACTAGTTTGTTTTTAAGGCTAACTACATCAAAATTTTATTAGATTAAATTATATTCTGTTCTCTTTTACTTCCATATTTAGATTGTGAGGTATGAAATTTATGCTTACAAGAATTGACATGGTTTCATATTGAAATAGAGCATCTGTAATCTGCATCGATTAGAATTACCGTATTGCTCTTTATTTGGATATGAGGTCTGCTATTTGTAAAAGATGGTTGTTGCTGCATGTTTTCCTGATTATTTACTGTCTAAAAGTCGTATAGTTTTGCTGCACATTTTCAGTGCTTCAAAATTCGAATTGGGCACATAGCCAATGTATCAAGGGATAGCAATCTCGATTAATTTCTTTTATCAGTTGAAAATACATGGTCTCCTTCTAGCTATTTAGTTGATCTTCTTGATATAACATCACTTGTATCGTGCCAAATGATATTTATCTCCGCATTCATTGGACAGCTTTGGAGGTCGAATTCACAAAATCACAAATCGTTGCCGGAATTCCTGGCGCCTTCTTCTGTGCATGGTACGCTTCAAACAAGCATTGGCTAGCAAACAATATCTTGGGCCTCGCTTTCTGCATTCAGGTTCTATAGCAGTAAATTTTTGTTTACCGTTTCTAACTTGGTTCCCTTAAAATAAAGCATATGTCTCAGGGAGAAAAATATTTATTACCAATCTTCTGATATCTATGTTTCAGGGAATCGAAATGCTTTCGCTTGGATCATTTAAGACCGGAGCCATTCTCTTGGTACAACATATATTAACAACTTTAAGTGCTTTAAAAATTTTCATTATCAAATTTTCGATGTCTATGTACAGTCTTGTATGCTCGGATTTTCATTAGGACTAGTTATGGTTTACAGAAACATTTAGTCATTTTCAAATTGATGTGTATCTTCTCTAAATTGCAGGCCGGGCTCTTTGTATACGACATTTTCTGGGTCTTCTTCACACCGGTGATGGTTAGCGTCGCAAAATCTTTTGATGCTCCTATAAAGGTTTGTCCCATTTCTTCGCACCACAACGGCTCTAACTATGATTAAATTTTTTAAATTAGAACGCTTCACTTTCTGCAGCTCTTATTCCCAACTTCAAATTCTTCGCGCCCATTTTCAATGCTAGGACTCGGTGATATTGTCATTCCTGGTACGCCGTTCTTGGTGCATTTTTTTATTTTTCATTTTTTCAAGAAACCACGTCAATCTAGATATGCGTAGCTGCATTTCTTTCAGGAATTTTTGTAGCGTTGGCGCTAAGATTCGACGTCTCCAGGGGGCATGAGAGCCGATATTTCAGGAGCACATTTGTTGGATACACTGCCGGTTTGGCCCTCACCATCTTTGTAATGAACTGGTTTCAAGCAGCTCAGGTGAACATTATGTTGGGCAAATTCCCATTCTAACTGAACTCGGGACATCTCTCCATTAGCTCGACTCTGAAATCATTCATTTTGCAATTATCTTCCAGCCTGCATTGTTGTACATTGTCCCTGCTGTTATCGGATTTTTAGCTGCACATTGCATCTGGAATGGCGACGTCAAACATGTAAGCCCATCGTGCTTTCAAATACGCCGGCTGTAAATTTTTCAGCATTCGATTAATTTCTGCATCTTGTCGACTTGCAGTTGCTGGAATTCGAAGAGACCAAAGCAACAATCTCAGGAAAAACAGACTCCGGCAAGAAAGATGAATGAGAATCGACAGATCGATCTGAGGTAAGAGAAAACTAGAATTCCATTAATTCTTACTTACAGAAATATGGAACATCGATTGAGTAGAATCATGCAGAAACAGATTGTCTTGTACAAGGTTTTGTTCATCACCACCATCATACATTATGTTTGTCTGAACGTTTTCTCATCTTGTGTCGGTATATATTTACTCTTTAGTCCAGTGGCTACCAATATATCTATTTTATTAGATTAGGCTGTTTATGAATTAATTTATCTATATATATGATTTAGTAAATGCTCCCTCAGCCTTAAAAAATTTGTCTATGAGAATTTTGAAAATTTATAATTATTGAATAAAATTTAATTAAAATTAAAAAAATTATAAATTATGAAATTTAAAATATATAATTATATTTTTAAAAAAATAAAAGAACAAAGTGCAGAAGAAAATAAAAAATATTAATATTTCATGTGGAACATTCTATGCATAATATCTATATATTAATAAAATAATTTTTATATTTTATTTAACATTACAATTATATCACTCTAATATACTCATATACGTTATATGCATCGGTTAGATCAGTATATGTACACATATAAAACAAAAAGTTTATAGCAATGATAATATAATGTATAATACATTGTTTACAACAAATGACATAATTATATAAAGCAACAATATATAAACTACGCTTTGCATATTTTTTTATATAACACAATATTATAGTATATTATATAAAAACATATATTGTCTGTCTTATATATATATTCCAATCGAATCAAATAGGTATTTTGATTTGACCCAATCAATACTTTAACCTTAGCCTACATCATATATCAAAAAATAAAGGTGTATTTTTTTTTGTAAAATACAAACATTTTTTTTTAAAAAAAAATAATAATATTTCATTCGTCTCAATACGATAGTCTTGTTTACTATTTTTTGTTCGTCTCAAAACAATAGTCTTATTTCTATAAATAACCATATAACTATAAAACACCTTACTCTTTTATTATTATTACACAATTGTCACTGCTTTTTACACTAATTTACAAGGCAAAAATATATTTTACTTATACTTTTTACCTACTATCAATATAATATCAATATTCCTTAAATCTCGTGTCCAACACATCCAAGACTATAGTTCCGGAACGAAGGGAGTATATTATACGTATTTGTTATTTTTATATTACCTATATAATTCTTTATATCTCCGGAATTAAAAAAAAAAAAGAAGAAAAAAGAAAAATCATTTAAAAAAATAAATGGATTTAGTCCGTATATTCATACATAGCATCCTTAAAAAATAATTAATTTGTCCCACATAATTTATCGACTATTTCTATTTCGGTTCGTCTTATATAATTTGTTTTTTTTCCTATTTACAAATATAATTATACACTTTAATCTCATTTTAAAATTCATAATTTATATATATTTTTAATTAAACTATAGTCATCTTAATTTTAATCTATAATTATTTTTATTAATCATAATTATTTTTATTAATATATTTTTTAATTACTTTTTGATTACATAATACATAAAACTCTCTGTCCAACTAAGATGAACAAATTAGGTGGAACGGGAAAAATATATTTATGCATATGCACACTATCCATCATAAAATAAATAAATACACACGATGGAGAATTTTTTTTTTTTCATTATAATTATACTCTTGGTTAGAAGATATATATTTGCATTTTGCGTAGCTATTAAAAATAGCAATTGGTAGTATTTTTATATGTAAATGTGTTTTTTTTGTTGAACACGTCATACCCACATATCATATATGTATACAAATATATTATGGATGCATTTATGTAGGTAAATCGTCGTAGCTACGTGTACAAGTTTTGAATAATTCTAAGCCTATAAATACTAGTGAAAGAATGAATGAACAGACACACCAATTTCTCTCCAAATCTCTCTTCATTTATTACTCTATTCACTTTACATTACGTCATATATTCGTACTAAACATATATACATATGTAATCATTAACACACAGACACATTATACATATATATACACACTTACATATATACCGTATATATATATAATATTATATACAAAATATAAAATAATGGTTAGCGGTAGAAGTAATTAATATTTTTATTGGCTAATTCTATACTAATATTACAACATTTTTATCCTATGTTTTAATTTAATGTAATATTATTGGCGATTATAAAGTATAAAATTGAGTGTATTTATAATGTATATGTCGTAACTATTAATATAAGAATAACGAATATGAATATTAATTATCTCTACAGTTAATTACTATTTTGTATGATATTAAATTATTATAATATAATTAGTGTATATATATGTATATGTGGTAGGTGTAGTAATATTATATGATGGTATTTAATATATGTATATATGTATGTATATATATATATATAAGATAGTAATGATGATTGATGTTGATGAATTGCAGAAAAAGAGAAAGAGATAATGCAAAATGAAATTTAGTGTATTCTTTTGACAAAGGACAACAGCTATTTATATATATAGCAAATTGCTACGCCATGTTTAATGGAAGAGAACAAACCATTTATATAGCCAATGAAATTACATTACGCGTTGTATCCACACAACATGTATGTATTGTCCACATATGAGCATTGTATAACACTATAGTTTAATTAAATTTATTAAAATAAAAAAATTTGTATTTTTTATTTAGATGGATAAAAATAATAAAATAGTAATCTTGTTGTTTGATCATGTATCTGTTAAGCATATTATTTGAATATTTTAGCTATGTTTACCTTAATTTTTTCAATATGCAATTTTTACCTTTACATATATATATATATATATATATAAATATATACTCACTCCGTCATTTAAATTTATGCTATTTTTTTTTTGGGTTGTCAGTGAAAATATTTTTATTTTCTTTTGAAGTAAAAAATCATTCCACTTTTGTACTGATTTTTACTATAAAAATGAAAAATTAACAATTATTACTCACTTTTATAAAAATTCGTGTCCGGTCAAATGAGCACACATTTGAATGACGGATGAAGTATTACTTTATCCCTCTCAAATAAAATATTTGCTCTTTTCTATTTCGATCCGTCCCATATAATTTGTCATTTTATTTTTTAAAACTATAATTATACATTTTAATCACATCTTGAAATTAATAATTTATAATTTTTTTAATTATAATTAGACTATTTAGTTATATTAATTTTAATATATAATTATTTTTATTAATTATTTTTTTATTACTTACTAATTATATTTTATTTAAATTTTTGCATCATGATTTAACCAGAATAGAAAAATATTATATTTTATAAAATGTTATATTCAATTAACCATTTAAATTAATATATATATATATATATATATATATATAAAAGCACACACCCAACATTAGTTTTGTCCATTTATATATTTTCAAAAAATATTAATTCCATTCAGAGGATGTTGGATAAATATTTTGGGAAGTTTTTAGATTATTAAACAGCTAATTCATCAGTCAAAAAATCAATTTTTAAGTATTTGTAAAAAAACAAATTTAAGTATTTGGTAAATTAATTTTTTGAAATAATTTATTGACCTCATAACTTAATTTTTGAAACGATCTATAATGTGTTTCAAGATAGTTGTTTCTCTTTCAAAAATTATATTTTATATTTGCTCTTAAATATAAGTCATTTCTTTGTTACAAGTATTAATATATGTTTCATTGTAGTATTTATTAATTATTTTAATATATTATTTAATAACTTATAAATTTATTTTTATAAATTCAAAATAATTAAAATAATTATTAACTTATGTATATTACAATATCTACTATATATTTTTTTCATATAATTTTTTTTATAAATAATGAATATATTATAATAAATTTATTTAAAATTATAAATTTTATAAAATATAATTAATTAAAAATTAACTTAATAAAAATATAAATACATTTCTTTTTATATTTTACATTATTTCTAAGGAAAAAAGTTCATATTTTTTTAATAAAAATACATTAATTTGTTACAAAATATTTAGAAAAATAAAAAAAATAAATACTTTAATAAAACTTTCATAATTAATTCTAAAAATTCCTACGCACCAAAAAAAAAAAAAAACTAAATATTTGAAAAATAAAATACAATATATCTTTAATTATCATTTTACATATAAACAACCAGTATCAAACATCTATTTTACCAAACACTTTAGCACAAATAGCTAACTGAATCCGCTAGTCAAATCCGCTAATCGAATCAGCTACCAACTAATTACCAAACACCCCATTGATATTTACTTTTTCTTTTAAAGTAATAACTTAAAAAATATATATTTTCTAATTAGAATATCACATTTAATAAATATTTATATTATACTCCATTCGTCTCAATTCAAATAACATTTTTTTATCATTTTCGTCTATCATAGTAATACAAAAATAACCTTTAAATTTTAAGTAAATTACAAACATATCATTACACATACAATTATTTTATACATAAATTCAAATAGCAAAAATGTTAAAAACTCTTACAAATTTCCAATAACTAATAAAATACTATTATTTTTGAATCTACTATAAAATATCAACAGACACTATTGAATTGGAACGAGGGCAGCATTTAAAATGTTTTTTTGGAATTCTATTTTGATTTTGCTATTTCATTTAAATAGTAATTGAATGTGATGTTTTATAAGATAAATAAATTTTTTTAAAGATATTACAATGGTTAAACAATTTTTAAAAAAAATAGAATTTTGAAAGAGCATACCCTATATTTATTGGTATATTTTATTATTTTCTAAAATAAATCAAAATATATAAATTTTCTAACACACTATAAAATTGTGCTGATCAATATAATAAAGTTTGTTGTCCCACAAAATTTCATCTATAATATCTGGCCAAAATTCTAAATAATTTCTTTCAACCTTGTGGATGAAATAGACAAGTGTCTTCGGCCCAAGATCAATTTATAGTGGATTATATGTGTAATTTCATGAAACAAAAACAATGGTTCAACCAAATCGATGATCCATTGAGCTCATTAAGATTTTACAAGGATTAGTAGATTACATATTATTATTTGCATCCTTATCAAGAGTTTAGATAATGGCACTAATTAAATGGAGGGCATTATGAACAAACGTTATGGAGAGTTGAATACAAATATTATGTAGGGCAAAACAAAGCTATCAATTCATCCACAAAATTTGTTCTTTCTTTTTCTTTAATCCTCTTGCATTTTCTTTTTCTAATTTTGTTTGTAGAACAATATAATTCAATGTGCAATTCATTGCAATTAATTTCTACCATTTTCTTTTTATTGTTTTTAGTAAGTCTTGCCTAAATATATTGCATACCACCGAAGATTTGTAGCACTTGCCCGAGAACCCATCGATCCTTTCCGGTAAGAAATTTTAGGTCGAAAATTTTTTTTTCAGGTCAACATAATTAGCACGCCTAATTGGACACAACGGAATATGCAATTCCAATCGAGGAAAAAAACTCATATAGAGAATCAATAAAAGAATGGCAACAAGTTGTCGGACGCCGTCTACGCGTTGTCCATCAGAGATGAACCATATCAATGTGTCACTTTGCATGTATAGGGTAATGCTTAAGCTCAGGGAATGATGACTACATTCATTCTTGAGAAGACATTATCAATGGTGGTCGGTTTTTAAGATTTCTTGTATGACATGTTGCACCAATTGACCGATAATTTTTAGCCGGCCATAAGTAATAAAATGGCCCCCATTAGAAAAGAAGATAACCGAAAAATTTGGAAACCAATTTGAATCAAACTGTTCAAGTAATGCAACCCCGAATAATGTTGGATTCAGTGCCCAATGTGAATAAAGTTGCTACATTTTTCAGCCCACGAAAACCCTGAAAACTATATTTCTGAAATACGCGGCGGTGTAGTTTCCGGAAGGAAACAAAGCTTCGATGAGATCAGCTAGAACTAGACGAGGCTGAGAGATTGCTCCATCGTACCAATCTCCATCAACAAACATAAATTTAGTCATACTTAAAGCGAAATTGAAAATAATTTTATCTTATCAATCATGCAAAAGCGTGACGCCTTATATATGTTTGTCTATTGCAATATAGTACTTACCAAGAATCGTTGAATTTTGAATCCTTTTGTCGTATCTCCATAGGCTTTGGTTGGCTATGAAACCAAAGCAAGATTGATCCTCGACGCTCAAGTTTTGAAGAAACGAGGAGACATTGAATGCCGAAGGGTCGGGCACATATGTCTCATCAATCACAACGTCTAAAGTCTATGTTGTAATTGTTTTAAAAAGCTTAAAAAGAGTTATCGAAAAAAAAATGATGAAAGAAAGAATATTGTGCACTTGTAATGAACACTCACACATAAAATGGCATGAAATGCTTCCAAGTCATCCGGCATCGAGATGTAATATGTGATTTTTCTAATGGAGTCATCGATGTTTTCCCCACCCGAATCCTCAACATACTACAAAAGCGCATAGTTGCAACAAAACACAATATATATGCTTGATTACGACAAGTTGTGCGAAAAATGTGATTTTTATGAGGAGCTAATGGGCAAGAGTTGCTCTCGCTCGATACCTTTAGCTTGTATGTCTCTTTCGTGAACGACCACACTCCCTATTAAAAAAAATACAAATCTGTTTTTTTAGTAAATGGAATTGTAAAGAGTCAGAAAAAAATTAAACATTGAAATAAAAGAACAAATTAAAAGTTCTTACATCTTTGACCGCCATCCAAGCAAGGATCAGTTTGAACAACACTTTCTTGCTAGCTGCATATTTGCTTAAGCACATATATATAATTCCACTTGATCTGCAATCCGCTCGATGTTGTTTAGACAAAATAGAAGAGTTTTTTTTAAAAAAAAAAAAAAAATTATTGATCTTACAAGTAAAAGCTCTACAAATCAACTATTCTACTATTTCCTAAAAAGTTTTTGGAAGTTCAATGCTACTAAAATCTTCGAATCAAATTTGTTTAATACTCATTGTATCATAGACTTGATTTGCTTGTGCATCCATATTTGCAAAAATCCCAAGGTACTTGATGCATTCAGCTTTCTGCGATATTCAACACATTGAAAAAAAATATTGGTAATTGATTGAAAATCGAATTAAAACGATTTTGTTTGTTTAGTATTTTTGTTTTAAAATATTTTTTTATGAAAAATATAAAAAATAATATTGATATTATAAAAATAATATTTATATTGAATATTAAGTTTTTATGAAACAATCAAATATATATTAAATATATTAAAAATCCTATGGGATAAATAATAGTTGGGTAAACATATTTCTACCTAGTAGAAGAAGAAAATAAAAGAAAATGAAATGATAAATTATGGGTGAATGTGGCTGTCCCTTCCTTGCACGTCTGCACTTTTTTCTTTTTTTTAAAAAAAAGAATTCTCAAAATTATCTACTTAATTTTTTATCAATATTCTTCATCACTGTAATTAACAAAGAAAGTTGCTGACGTTTATGATACAACTACTGCTAAATGAGGCAATATCAATGAATCAGTAAAAAAGAGTGGTTGAAATAAAGGTTGTTAGGGAAGAAAAACAAGGTGTTGATGAGCAAACAAAACAACAAGAAGCCAATTCAGAGGCTATATAATCTAGTAATGCTCATGTAGATAAGTTTGTTCTTTCTTTGGAAAAAATATGATCAGATTAATCATCAAGGAGTTGGGATTTCTAAAGCACGTATAGAAGAGGATCGAGATGATGATGATCTATTAATTCAACTCTCGGCTAGGAGACAAAAGAAGAGTAAAATAGTGGATACTAAGAGAGTTGGAACTTTGAAAAAAAAAAACTATTGCAAATAGGAAAAATACTAAGAAAAGGAAATTGAAACCTACTTTTACTACACTTAGAAGTTACGAATGTGTTTGCCAAGTTCAATTTCACTAAAAAGGAAAAATAATATGATGAAGAGGTGTTGCAATCAGATATTTTCTACCCGACGTAAGGTATGACAAACCTCTTTACAAAGAAATTGGTTTTAGTGCCATTTTTAAAGAATGAAATCGATATTTTTGGTCTGTGGAGTTAAGTAGGTTTATTCTCAAATTGGTTAGATAATTTTATGCTAATCTTTCAAAAGAGTTTTTGGACCCGAAGTCATCTTGGTTCTATAAAATCTATATTTTAGGTGAGTTCTACTCGTTGACTTCATGCATTGCGAACGAGGTGTTTTCATTGCTACCGAATTCCTTATCACATTTTTCATCTTATTATCTTGAAGGTCAAGAAAATTTTGATGCTTCTCATGTTAGTTGCAACACCCCCAATTAACTTATACTGGAAATACTACCGTCACACTGCATCATGAGATCGTCATCTCTTACTTCGGACTCCACAATACAGTGTTAATGCTAAAATTAACTATAAAAATATCTTATTATTTCACACAAACTGATTTATGAATATTTACAAAAATAGACTCCTAAATATGAGGGTTTTTTTCAGTTAAAAATTTACATGTAATACATAAGATGGAAGTTCACTCACTCAACCCATCTTTTTATATTTTGAGACGCCGACCCATCTTTCTATATTTTGAGACGCCGCTATCCCTAAGGTGCAATGCATACTTGAACCAAATTTTTCTTAAAAACATACTAGAATTAAATCTATTATAAAAACTAACATAAATTATATCTTGTCATAATTTAAAATGAAGTCTAATCTCCGTCATTCACCAAATAAGTGGCATGTTATGCCAACCGTGAAATGATGCAACAATGATGTCAAACTCGATAAACCAAGCACCTACGTATCTATACATCTGTCTAAGTGAGCAGCCAAAATAACCCCGACCTTATAATTATAGGCTCACTATATCTGTCTAAGTGAGCAGCCGAAATAACTTCGGCTCCATAATAATAGGCTCACTTGACCATCATCAATAAATAGCCAAAAAAAACCTCGACTCAAGGAAGGACCTGATAAACTCATAATAATAAAATGGTCATCTGGTCACTTTCATATACCCACCATACAAGCCTTATAATGAATACAAGGATAGCCGATGTTGTCGCTATTAACCACAAGATTCTCCATAGTCTGTGATAGCGAATATAGGAATCTCATGTCTAGTCCTATCCCATCTAATGTAGTAGAATTCGTGCAACCTGGAATCACCAATGGGAACCCGAAAGCTCTACTTCTTCTCATGAGCCCTAACGGGATCACGTTTGGAGCTTGGCATATGATCCTAAACTACCTGTAGACCTCACCAGTGATTAGCCCAATGAGTGAAACAACACGAAACATGAATGATTAGACCAAATACGTCTCAACTACAATGGGTCTAATCCCTAAATGACTGTGCATCTAAGTCATCCAGTTGTCCAACTACTATCGTCCATTGTCGTCAAAGTATTACGGTACATCAGGGGCGAATATCATAACGCGAGATGATGCTCACCTATAAAGTGTACAATATGTGTGCCAAGTAAAATAAGTGAATTTGCCGAAAGAGGTTGGTGAGATAGCTCACCTATCCTCATTTTCATAAATTCACAAGTACAATGACATACGTATCTAAAATATAATAAAATGTGAAGTCTCACGCATGCATACGTACACATATATAGATATATATATATGCACTAACAAAATTATCCACATAATATCACAAATACATTATAATCAAAATCGTATGCACATGCATATCTAATTTTTTAAAATTATATTTAATTGTCTATTGATTACCTCTTTATCAACACTCCTTGACTTTTTTTAATTTCACACAAATCTCCCTCAATGTACACCTGCCCTATTATTTACTCGAATTAGATAAGCTATATATTTATTCATAGAAGCTAAATGCTTATTCAAAAGTTAATTTCTCTAATTAGCTAGTCGGGTTTTAAACTTTTCATTTAGTATGATATCCTAGTTATAAAACCCTTATACTTCATAACCCTTTATATTGTCTGATTATTCAATACACTGTAATTTCAATTTTGTTTTGATCGATACAAAATTCTCATAATATAACGTTAGGTCTACGAATAGAATTTTTAACTAAAAAATTCGTCGATTAAATAGCTAAATAGCCAATTATGAATTTTTGAAAAATTTCTAATATAATAAACCAATATCGAGATTCATATTAAAAATTATAATTAAATTCTACTTATAGCAAGAATACAATACCAATATCAAAATTGAAATCGAACAGCTAATTTTTTTTCTTTCTTTTTTTATTTTCCTTATTCTTCGTTACGTTCTTTCTCCCTGGGTTGCTTCAGATCAAGGTTTGTTTTTTTTTTTTGCTTTTTTACTTTCATTTATTATTATTATTATTATTATCATCGTCATCTTTATCCTATTATATTATATTCTTTTCATACCATTTGAAAATGGTCATTTGGATTTTCATAGTAGATTAAGAGATAATAGTGTTTTATTTATTAGTGAAATTGTTAAGGTGTTTTGATATTTTTGTCATTTGACTTTATATATAAAATTATTGTATATGTAATAGTACGTTTATAATTTAAATAAAAATTAAGGATATTTTGGTATTAGTATATTACTACTTTTACTAAAAAAAGGAAAATGATACATCCTAAAAATTTGAAATTTAGCTAAAAAAATATTTCGTAGCAAAACGTAATGAACCCATAGAAAAAATATTTTTGCGACAAAACTCATTTCGTCGCCTATATCGCGTTAGTAAAAGTCTTTGGCAACAAATATGACTTTCGTAACAAAAAATAAAATTTTTTAAATGAAAGTTAAGAAAAGAGATATAGCTACGGAAATATAATTTCGTAGCTAAAGGGCTTCTGCTATAAATTAAAATTCGTAATAAAAGATTTTTAGCAACAAAATATGTATGATATTTTAGTCGAATGATTTTAGCTAAAACCTTTTAGCTATAAAAATTGAATTTTCTAGCAAAAAAATTTAGTGACGAAATTAATTTTGTAGTACATAATTTATTTTTAACGATAAAATTAATTTTTGTTGCTAAATGACTCATTTTAACTGCAAAAATATTTTACCTAATTAGATACTTTTTGTCGTGACAATTTTTAGTAGCGCGGACAAAATGGTAAAAGAAGTATTTTGAATTAGAACGAGATAATAATAATAATAATAATTATTATTATTATTATTATTATTATTATTATTATATTTTATATTTATCTTTATCGTTATTAATATTTATTCTTCTAATAGTCTTTTAAATCATAAAGTATATACAAAATAAGAATAAAATTTATTTTATAATATTGATTTTTTTGCTCTCATTAATAATATATTATTTAATATAATAATATTATTTTATGTACTCTGAAATCGGGACATTACATTACTGCTAAAAAGACAAAACATTTTGGTAATAATCCATGGAGTCCATCTACACTGATGATGAAATACATTTGCTTGTTCAAACTTTGTTGGATGAGCATCTATCCGATGTGAATGCCTCCACACTTAACATGGATATGGGTAAACTACTTTGATAATGCAACTACGGCTTAATTCTTTTGAAAAAAATATTGGACTATATACCTAGAAGTACTTTTGAAAGTACATGACTACCCTATCCCGAATTGATAACTTTGGAGTGTTGGTCATTCCCTGTGAAGATGTTGTAGGCATCAAATCACACCAACTATAATCATTTCAATGAAGGACCCTATTAATTAGTGATACACTTATGAGAGATGATGCAATACATCAAAAAACTTGTAGACATTTCTACTAAGATTGCTATAGGATTTTAAGGATGATGTCTTTCGATGTTCCTAATCCTCTTACTGGTGAAGCGGAGAATCTAAGGCAAGGATTGACCTTTTTGGCTCATGTCACCCAAAAACTGAGAGTAATAACGAAGATTTTTCTAAGGGGAGTTGAGTCTATTTCTAGTTGATATGAAATCAACACACCCCTGGAACACCATTTCGGAGATTCCGCTGCTATTGCTGAAGTTGCTGGTTTTTTCGTATTTTTTTTTATTGTTATTATCTTTAATTTCATTTTTTGAACCTCTGATCTTTCGATTTTCTCAACTAAGGTCATTTGCAGTTTTTGTCTCATTAAATTCTGATGAATCATTTTGTAACAATAAGAAAAAAAAAATGAACCGCTGGTCATGATAAAATATGCCTAAATGCAGCCAAACTTGTTCAAAAACTTAGTTTTTTTTCTAGATATATCTCATGCACATGTATTTGGTCATTATACGAAGTTTGATTCCGAACCAAAGCTATTAGACCAGATGAAAAGTTTACGAGGAAACTGTAAACAAGTTGCAACATCCACCTAATATTACCTAGAGTAATTAATAGACAATTAATTTGCTGAGTTGGAACAGTTAGTTAGTTGACACCAATTGATTTGGATCATTTTACTCCACTATTAACTCATAATTGTAATATGTGAATACTAGAATTACAATAAGATCTTGAAGTTGGAGAGAGTCTGGAATTACACAAATTTCATCAATTGGGTGATAGACTTAGATGTGAGATTTAATGTTTATAAAAGATTTAGTATTAAAGGGATTTTCTAGTTGTTCTTTAGAGTTAACTTGGAATTCGATTGAACAAGATTAGTAATCAAATCCACAACTTCCGCATTGCAAATCAAATCATATGATCAGGACGGAGATTCAGTTGCTGCAGCATTGAGGAGTTTCCTTGCGAGAGACAAGTCCGAACAATCATGAAGACACAGGTTTCTTCTATGCGAGGTTTTAAGTCTTAGGTCAATTGATCGTGAAGGGATTTGAGTTGGATTTGGAAAGGAAAATTATATCCTATTTGTGGTTTCAATTGGGGTAGTGAAATCGACATCGACGTGGATTGGTATCCTCCAGATCCGAATTAGATTAACAAATCATCTTGTCATTTATATTATGTTTGTTATAATATGTTAAACAGAAGTGACAAGAAGTACACATTGCATCTGAAAGCACTTAACCTGATTTCAAACACATCCAAATCAGTCCAGCCTTCTTGATGAAATAGAGCAATGTCTTCGGCCCAAGATCAATCGATGATAGAATAGATTAAAGACAACTCAAAAGAAGGCAAGTTTGTAAAACAATAGTCCAACCCAATCGATGATCCATGGAGCTCATTGAGATTTTAGAAGGTTTAGTCGACTATAAAATATGAATTAATTGACTATTAATCTCATCCTTATGAAAGTTTAATTGATCATCAATCAATTAATGAATTAATGGCACTAAATGGAGGGCAGTATGTGCAAGCATTGTGGCGAACTTTCATTCGAGTCTAGTAGTCTGGAATTAAGTCGTCGAGGCAAGTCATATTAGATAAATCATGCATGAAGACAAGATCTAAAAACATCAGGAATTTAAATTCATAACATCACAGTGACGAATTCACTCCACTTAATAATTTTTGTTGATTTTTTTAATAAGATTCCCTAAATAATGTTACATATCATATGAAATTTGTATCCAATTGCTTAAAACCCACCAATCTTATTTGAAAAGAAATTTTAGGTTGAAAATCGAATTTGCAAACCACAATTTATTAACTATATTTAAGAGAGAAAAAAATATATTGTATCCGTTCTAACTCAAAGTATCATTTTTATCTTTTTCGTTCGTCTCACTTCAAAAGATATATATTTTTTTTTTTAGTAAAAATACATACACTAATATCAAATGTTAGCGGATTTGACTAGCGGATTAGCTGTTAGCGGATTTAATTAGTTGTTTGTGCTAAAATGTTTGGTAATATAGTTATTTGATATTAGTTGTTTATACATATAAAATGACAATTAAAGGCATATTGTATTTTATTTTTAAAATATTTAGTTTTTTTTTTTTTTTTGGCACGAAGGAATTTTTACAATTTTATTATTAATTATTAAAAATTATGAAAGTTTTATTAAAATATTTATTTTTATTATTTTCTAAATGTTTGGTAAGAAATTAATGTATTTTTATTAAAAAAAAATGAATTATTTTATTAGAAATAATGTAAAATATATAAAAAAATGTATATATATATTAAGCTAATATATATTTTTATAAGATTTATAATTTTAAATAAATTTATTATAATATATTCATTATTTATAAAAAAAAATTATGTGACAAAAAAAATATATAATTATTTTGTATTTATAAAAGTAAATTTATAAGTCATTAAAAAATATATTAAAAGAATAATAAATAG